GGCGCCGGGTACCGCTGAGGTCTCATGCAATTCCTTGCTCCACGTCACCAGTGAGTTGGCTGCTTCCCTCCTCAGGAGTACATATTTCATCCAGGCATTGCTGAGAGGCAGTGAAATGAATTTTTCCAGATAATGGCTGTGGAACTTTACATTTAGTTCTAAATGCGTAAGGATTGTGAATTAATTTTTTCATTCCTTTAAACTTATTTTTGATGGATATGGCCTCAGTGAAATAACTTTTGTTGAGCTCAAGAACTTAATTTTTTCAGAGACAGTAAATGAAGGGAATCCTAAAGGAGCTGGGTGACAGAGACTCCATTTAACAGGTTTATTTCTAAAAATTTTCACATCTGGATTAACACCACAACATTGACTCGGCCATCTCCAGGCCTCACCTATTTCCCTGGGACATATCTGAGATACAGGAAGTAAGCAAAGATAAAAAGACCTTTGAGCGATCACAATGAACATTACAAAGTCCATGTTACAGTGTGTCTGACTTGGAGTTGATCTCTCAATTTGTACATAGTTCTGAGAGGCTGAGTTGTATGATTTCCAATGATGATAGCAAATTAATTGCATTAATAATGACAGCTGACATTTAAGCCTTTGGTATAGACTATAGCAAACTATAGTCAACAAAGTGTGTTATGTGGCTTATCCCAGGTAATTACTAAAATAACCTTACAAGGTAGGTGCTGTTGTCACCATTCTTTGAAGGAGGTAACTGAATCTTAGTCTTAGGAAGGTAAGTAAATTAATGATAGAACCAGATTGAAACACAGTAACTCACAATTAAGGATTGAGTATCTGTCTACTTTAGCTTAAGTAATTTTAGTTTAAACATCTGATGCCAAACCAGCACTCAGATGATCTTTTTTCTTTTTCTTTCTTTTTTTTTTTGAGACAGAGTCTCTGTTATCCAGGGTAGAGTGCAGTGGCATCATCATAGCTCACTGCAACCTCAGACTCCTCAGCTCAAGTGATACTCCTGCCTTAGCCTCCCTTGTAGCTGGGATACAGATATGCAATACCACGGTTGGCTAATTTTTCTATTTTTTGTATAGGCAGGATCTTGCTCTTACTCAGGCTGATCCTGAACACCTGACCTCGAACTATCCTCCCACTTCAGCCTCCTAAAGTGCTGGGATTATAGGCCAGAGCCCCCATGCCTGGCCCCGATGATGTTACTTTTAATCTTTAGGTTTGCTCCAAAATCTTTATATGAGTCTCTTCATCTTCTTCCATATATTTCTTAGACTCCCCTCCATTGGCAAATCATTAAGCATTGAAGTGTGTTATCTCTTAAACTTGATATTTATGTTTGGGAGAATTGAGTGCGACTCCACAAATAGAACTCTTTTTTTTTTTTGAGACAGAGCCTCAAGCTGTCCCCCTGGGTAGAGTGCCATGGCATTACAGCTCACAGCAACCTCCAACTCCTGGGCTCAAGCAAGTCTCTTGCCTCTGCCTCCCAAGTAGCTGGGACCACAGGCGCCCGTCACAACGCCCGGCTATTTTTTGGTTGCAGCCGTCATTGTTGTTTGGCGGGTCCGGGCTGGGGATTCGAACCCGCTACCTTAGATGTATGTGGCTGGCGCCTTAGCCGGTTGAGCTATAGGCGCTGAGCCCCAAAAATAGAACTCTTAAGAGAACCTTGAGTAACAAGGAGAAAAAGAGGGTGTGCTGTTTTGTTTGTTTTTTAATATTCACAGTTTTCATTTGAGAGATTTAGGAGCATTAAGAAAAATATAAAATCAGCTAAAATGCTAAGAAAGGAAGATAAATAGGTGGGGCAAGTTTGTGTGTGTTTGCCAAGTATTCCTTGGGTATTGTTGTCTATTCTTATTTTCAGACTTAGAATGATTTTGTTCTGGTTTGTGAGTTTACCTGATGTTTTAAAAGTCAAAATCACCAATATCATTTATTCAGAATTAAGTGTTAAGTTTGACAACCTGCCCTGTTTTTCCATACTAAATTATAAAAGTTGTTTAGAGACTTTATAAAGAGTAAGAATTTGATATGAGTTTCTCAAGTAACTGGAATAGGAGACATGTATATCCAAGTTGTGTTTCTCATTTTGAAAATACTGGCAATGATGTTCATTTTAGGATTTTGGCACCTGTTTTGAACATGCCAGCAGCCCTTAAGGATCAAAATTGAGGCAGGCTAATGAGGAAGCTGGAGATTCTGTTTTCCTGGCAGTCTAATTCCAGATTACCTGCCTTTAAGGACCTATTTTAAAGTAGGGACAGTAAGTTAATGTTGTTTGAATCTGTATTTTCATGTGGATTTATCAGTTATTGTCATTAAAGACGGGTGCCAAAATGAAGTGTGAGTTTCTCATATTCTTAGATGAAGGGCTTCCTATGTAAATTTTCCTATAGGCTGATAGTTATTAATAGTGCTGTATCTGCTGGGTTTAAATTACTAGTAGAATCCTTCTGAGATCTGTGACCCCCAGCCTTCCTCCCCTAGTCTCTCTCTTCTATCCTTTGCCTATTGCTTAGGTTATTGTTAGCTGTTATTATGTAGGGTTATAAACTTTTCATGCTACCAAACACCATACAAGGACATATGGTGTCCCTACACTTCATTTAATTGGACAGTTTATATTTTTTAAGTAAACGAGAACACCATCTTTTATTGTCAATATCTGAGCACTTCAAGAAACTTTTGCTTCACATTTTCTACTCTCCCTTTGTAGCAGCTATCACCTCTGTTCTTTGAAAACCAATCATTACATTTTTGACCACCCACTGATTGGCACACAATTCAGAGTAGTTTGCAGATTAAAAGTTTTTGCCCTCAAGAAAGCAGCAATTGAATGGAAATGGTATGGGTATAAAATGACAAGAAGGATCCTCTGGCTTTCTAGCAAGGTGTGACTAGGACCTCTATGAAGAAAAGTATAAAACTTTTCCCTGCTGATGGACAGGGAAGATAACCTACATGTCTGTATATTCATACCATGGTCCTGGATGGGACCAGGCAGGTTGATAAGGAAGCAAGATGACACATGACACATCTCTCAAAATTAATTTATTCAAAATATCCTCAAAGTTGAAGACAGTATACTGAGAGAAATAATCTGTAATATATCTAAGTGACAAAGGGTTAATATCCATAATAATAATAAAGTGCTCCTGCATATAAAAAAAACTTGATAGGAAAATGGGCAAAATTGGCAGTTCACAGAATACTAACAAAGGACCAATTAAGCATTAAAAAAATGCGTAGCCTCACTAGGAATTAGGAACTTGAATATTTAAATGGTAGTGCATACTGTTAAATAAAACTTTACAAGAATATGAAGAAAAGGGCATTCTTATCTGGTGTTAGTGGGTATGTAAATTGGCATAATCTTTCTAGGAGGAATTTGACAATATTTATCAAAATTTAAAATGTTTAATTTTTTTCAGTTTATGTTTTTTATTTATCTTATTTTGGGTTATGGATTTTTTAAATTTTCTTAAATTTTTTAATTGTTACATTATAATTGTATATATTTATGGGGCACAATTTAGTGTTTGAATACATGTATATGTTGTATGATCAAATCAGAGTAGTTAACATATCTTTTTATTTTTTTAGAATGAGAACATTCAAAAACCTCTCACCTAGATATTTTTTCATATATAATGCCTTACTGGGTTTTTTTTTTTTTTTTTCTGAGACAGAGTCTCACTATGTTGGCTTCGGTAAAGTGCTGTGGTGTCACAGCTCACAGCAACCTCAAACCCTTAGACTTAAGCAATTCTCTTGCTTCAGCCTCCCAAGTAGCTGGGACTACTGGTGCCTGTCACAATGTCTGGCTATTTTTTTGTTGCAGTTGTCATTGTTGTTTAGCTGGCCCAGGCTGGGTTTGAACCTGCCAGCCTGGGTATATGTGGCTGGGGCCCTATCCACTGAGCTATGGGCGCCACCTAATGCCTTACTATTAACTCTTGACACTGCTGTGCAGTAGAACACCAGAAGTTATTCCTTCTGTCTAATTAAACTTTGTACCCATTGGCCAATCTCCCCCCATCTATGTTAATGTCTTTTATCCCAACAATTCTAGGAAATCTATACTACAGAAATTGTCACATGTATAAACATACTATGTATATTAGGAACAATAAGTACAAAGCACTGCCTATAGGTACAGACATATTTGTACAGTATTTATAACAGCAAAAGTTACCAGTAACCCAAACGTCCATTAATGGAGTAGTTGTGCAAATTTTGGCACATTCACACTGTAGAACACTGTGCAGTCATTAAAAAGAATGAGCTAGAGCTATAGAAGTATTAACAGCAGAGGAAGGTGAATCTGAGATATTAAGTTCAAAAAGCAACCTGTAAAGCAGAAGATTAACCACATTTTGAGGGATAAATATATATTTGAGTACACACACACATATGGGCCAGGGTTCTTTTAAGAATCCTGAAAAGTTACACTTAAAGTATAGGTGGGAAGCATGTTGGGAAGATCCTTTCATTTTTTTCGTTTCTATACCTTTTAGCCCATTTGGACTTGCTAATAAAATAATCAGCGTGAATTTCTTTGAAAACAAAAAGACAAAACAGCATATAGTAGGAGCTGTTGTTTATCAAGCATTTACAGTGGCAGGTATGATATTATATAAAGCACTTTAACTTTTTCTCTTTCGAACAATCCCACAGAATTGATGTAAGTTGTCTAGAGGTTTAGGAGGCCAAGTATATTATGAGCCCAGGTTTGTGCATCACAGAGTGAGCTTGAACCTAGACCCTCTTACTCCAGAGCCTCTTTTTTCCAAACTCACATTCTGTGATAAGTGAAAAGAGCTTGCTGTGAAAACAGTTCTTAACTATTGGGCTGCCGATTTCCAGGGGAAGCTAATGGATTTTAGAATATCCAGTTTTTTGGTTTTTTTTTGCAGTTTTTGGCTGGGGCTGGGTTTGAACCCGCCACCTCCGGCATATGAGGCCGGCGCCCTACTCCTTTGAGCCACAGGCGCTGCCCAGAATATCCAGATATTTTGAGACTATGGATAGGATCATAGTTGTTTGTGTTGCTGGACATGTTTTCCTGGAGGTCTGACCTAACATTGTTTAATGTATAGCATGCTGTTACCAGGGTAAGAATAATTTATGGAAGCTTTTCTGTTTAGTTGAGGAGTCTGTTCTATAAATCAAGAGAAATGCAACTTCTAACCTGCAGTATAATTTAAAGCAACGTTTAATGAAGTGTATAGTTGTGAGCTTTTATTAAATTTAACTTCGGCCTGGCATAGTGACTCATGTCTGTAATTCTAGCACTTTGGGAGGCCAAAGCATAATATTGCTTAAGCCCAGGAATTTGAGGCTAGCCTGAGCAACACAGTGAGACTGCATCTCTAAAAAAAAAAGAAAAGAAAAGAAAAGTTAATCAGGTGCGGTGGTGTACACCTCAGTAGTCCTAGCTAACTCAGGAGGCTGGGCCAAAAGATATGCCAGGAATGAGCAATGATTACACCACTGCACTCCAGCCTGAGCAACAGAGAAAGCCCCTATCTCTAAAATTAATAATTATTATTATAATAAATTTTACTTGGACTAGTGAGATCAAGACAAGAATGATGTTAAGTTTAATGATTGATTTCCATTTAACAAGTTATACTCTTTTTTTTGGTTTGTTTGCAGACAGAGTCTCACTTTGTTACCCTTGGTAGAGTGTACTGTGGCATCACAGCTCACAGCAACTTCTAACTCTTGGGCTTAAGCAATTCTTTTGCCTCAGCCTCCCAAATAGCTGGAACTACAGGTGCCTGGCTTTTTTTTTTTTTTTTTTGCAGTTGTCATTGTTCAGAGGCCCTGGCCAGGCTCAAAACCACTGTGCTATGGGTGCTGAGCAAACAAGTTATACTCTTAATCATGAATGTTTGGTTCATTTAGTATTGGGATGTCAGTTTTAGAAACATTTACAAGAGTATTCCGTCAGAGCTTATTACCTATTGTTGCTTGCTTTGACCTCAAAACAGAGAAACTGACTATGGAAGTTGCTCTGACTTAGTAGCAGATGTTCTTCTCCCTCCCCCCAGAAGATTCCTGCCCTCGCTCCTCCTGTACTCAGCTCAGATCTCCAACTTCTGTGAAGTTTTTGCTATTTAAAGGGAAAAAGCTACTACTTGCTAACCAGGATGCCAGGCCAGGGAGAGCAGTGTAGAACTGTTCCAGCTTGGCAGTTCCTGCATGGATTCTTTACCATGGCACAGGCTCCAAATACATGGTGTCTGTCCTCTCTCCTCTGCCCTGTTCTCACTCGGGGCTTTCCCACCCTATAGCTGGTAGTAAATTAGGGCAGAACCCAGTGTACATTGCCTATTTACAGTCATAGAAACACAGTATGACTTGGAAATTCCTCAGAAGTGTTATCCCAAAATACCACAGAATGAGAATTTGCACCATGACATGAAGATAAAATGAATTCCATTTTCTTTTGTCCATTTGTTCGTTCATTCATCATATATTTTCTGAACCCTGCTGTGTGTCAGGGCCAGTGCCCACCACAGGAAATACAAGATGGAATAAGGCATAACCCCAGCCTTTAGAGATCTCAGAATTGAGTGGAGGTTTGGGGAAGAGGGGAGGCAGGAACCAGATCATCATAGGTGTATTTTTGTAAGTCCTGTAATTGGAGCTAGGACAGCAGCTGACATGAAGTAGTCCCTATTATGTGCTTGTTGAGTGAATCAGCAGCAGCAAGGGAGGGTGTCTTCAGAGAAGACCTCCCAGAGGAGGTGGTGTGTAAGTTGGGTCTCAAATATCAAAGCAATATGATATTTCCTGCCTGGTTTTTGGTATAAGAATGCTGAAATGTGTACAAAATTTCAAATCTGCTTGCCCTTCAAAGTTCCATTAGAATAAACCATTTATAAGAAAATTTGCCTTATCTGTATTCTTTAAGTTTTTATTTAAAATGTGGGAAAGAACCATATAGGAGATAAACTGGAAATTTCTCTCTCAAGGCTTCGGTAGACATCAAATGTCATCTATCTGCTCCTGAATCTTCCTGTTTGTATTCTCTCTCTGATTTTCTCTGTTAGCATCAGTCTCGTTCTTTCTGCTTTGGATCATTGGTCTCTGATAAGAAAAAAAAAGTTCTGTATTTCTGGGGAAAAAAATAAACAGCAGATTTACTGTCTCCCCTTTTCATCCTCAAAATTGATTTCAGTTGATGGATATGGAAGAATGGAGTCAACTTTTTTTTTTCAGTTTTTTTTTTTTTTAGGTGTTCTTGTGAACAGATTGGGACTACAGTTATTCATACTGAGAAAGTAACATTCTTGCTGCCCACAATGGCTCATGCCTGTAATTCCGGTGACTCTGGCAGCTGAGGCTGGAGGATCTCTTGAGGCCAGGAGTTCAAGACTAGACTGGGCAACAAAGCAAAACATTTGTCTCTAAAAATTAAATTAGCCGAGCATAGTGCCACACGCTTGTAGTCCCAGCTAGTTTTAGCTATGTGAGAGGTTGAGGTGGAAGGATGCCCAGAGCCCAGCCCAGGAGTTCCAGATTGCAGTAAGCTACGATCAGACCACAGCACTTCAGCTTGTAGGACAGATCTAGACTTTATCTCTTTAAAAAAATTTTTTTAAGTAACATCCAGGCTTTTAGTTTCAGCAACCTAGAAAATGATCCTTTGTAAAATAATAAAAAACAGTGGAATTTTCAAGTTCTGAGGAGTGTTGTGAATTTGAGTGCAGTGACATTTCCATCAAGTACATGCTTACTAAAATATGCAGTAGTTTGATGTTTTAATTGTAGACAAGGGTGGGTGGCTTCTGACATTTAGTCAACCTTTAGTTTCCTTAATGAGTTCACTTGTTCTCCAGTATCTGAAACCTATAGTTCTTGTCCTCTGTCACATATATATTTGGCCAAATATAGATGTCATAAAAGCTGTGTGCACACTCTGTGAACTTCTGGTCTTCCCAGCTGAGTCTGGCTATGCCACAGCTCTGGGAGTGGATTGATTGGTTGGAAGTAAAACAGCTTCAAGATATTAAAAAAGCTGCTTTTGAAGTTTGGTTGTAGTTGCATGTTCCTACCCTCATGTAACCTTTATGTTGTCATAGTATTCAAGAATGTTTTTAATACTAATATGAGGTGTAAGAGATGGAATTTTTAAAAAAATCTTAACATTCAGGTAAATGTTGCCCTTAGCAAAGAAGTTATCATAAAGAAGTTATCATGGGAGGTCATGCCATTATTCTAGTGGGAGTTACTGCTCAAACTCTTAACCAGAGTCAGTGTTCTTCATATGATTCCTTATCCCTTTAATCTGAATAGATTTTAACTCCATTATCAAAATATTTGTCACCATGGAAATGTTGTTTTAAAATGGAAAAAAAGATCTGAAGTTACAATAAATAACAGAATTACTGAAAGAAATTTATTCCTACCTAATATATTTGAGAAATATAATGTTCATTTGAATGATAACATCCTGGCATTATTGGAGGTGACATAACTAAGTCACTTTCCTGTAGTCACCCATTCGCCCATCAGAGTAAGACAGAAAAGTTGTTAGAACTTCCCAAAAGGAGTATGCTCAGGAATGTTAAGGGGAAAAAAAAAAACCTACAACTTCTCTTGTTTATTTAAAGTCATCCCTGGACCTGGACCTTTGACCCCAAGTGCCCCACTTTCCCTAGCTGTACTTCCTACGGTGTGATCTACAGGATTGTGAAGCCCTTCAGGGCTTTTCTAATACTTTCCTTTTGTTTCTTTAGGTATTTCTGGGAAAAGCCAGCTTCTGTTTGCACTGGTCTTCACAACTCGTTACCTGGATCTTTTTACTTCATTTATTTCATTATATAATACATCTATGAAGGTATGGTATGGCATCAGATGGGATGTATTTTATCCATAGTGTGCAGAACTATGGAAACTTAATTATAGCTGTGTTCTTTTTTTTTTTTTAATCTTTTTTTTTTTTACTATTCTTTATTTTTTGTTGTTGCAATTTGCAAGGGCTGGGTTTGAACTCACCACCCTTGGTATATGGGGCTGACACCCTACTCACTGAGCCACAGGCACCACCCTATAGCTGTGTTCTTAATTAAAAATCTCTAAGGGCTCAGCGCCTGTGGCTCAATCGGCTAAGGTGCCAGCCACATACATCTAAGGTGGCGGGTTCGAATCCCCAGCCCGGGCCGCCAAACAACAATGATGGCTGCAACCAAAAAATGGCCGGCGCTGTGGCGGGCGCCTGTAGTCCCAGCTACTTGGGAGGCTGAGGCAGGAGACTCGCTTGAGCCCAGGAGTTGGAGGTTGCTGTGAGCTGTGAGGCCATGGCACTCTACCCAGGGGGATAGCTTGAGGCTCCATCTCAAAAAAAAAAAAAAAAAACTCTAAGAATAATGTATAAATATGCTATTCTTGCCTTTAAAACTTTTAGACCACCTTGTACATATAACTGGGAATAAATATCATTGCACATATTCTGTTTCAAAACAGTTTCTATTTACTTTGAAGTTAGAGATTTTTTATTTTAAGATCCTCAGGTATGATAAATCTTCTAAAGTTCTTGGTAACCCAGTAAGGAAGGATAGCTATTATATTTTCAAGCAGTCGGAAGTTATAGACGCCCCCAAGAAATCCAACAAGTTGGTACATAATGAGAATTAAATCCAAGACTTCCAGTGGCAGTATTTTGTTTTATATATAAAAGGGAATTGTGAATATATATATAAGGGAATTGTGTACAGGCTTCTACTTTTTTTTTTCTTTTCCACTTGGTCAATTTTTCTTAAACTTCTGCTGTGTGCCATTTTTATTACATTTGCCATCCTTAATAACATCTGTGCCATAATTTATTTAATAATATATTTTTTAAGCCTCAGCCAAAGTGAGACTTCATCTCTAAAAAAATAGCTGTGGCCGGGCATGATGGCTCACACCTGTAATCCCAGGCCAAGGCAGGTGGATTGCCTGAGCTCATAGGTTTGAGATCAGCCTGAATCAGATTGAGACGTCGTTTCTGAAAATAGCTGGGCATTGTGGTAGGCTCCTATAGTCCCAGCTACTTGGAAGGTGGAGGCAAGAGAATTCCTTAAGCCCAAGAGTTTGAGGTTGCTGTGAACTATGACACTAGAGCACTCTACTAAGGGTGACAAAGTGAGACTCTGTCTCAAAAAAATAATAATAACTGGGCATTGTGGTGGGTGCCTGCAGTCCCAGCTACTTGGGAGGCTGAGACAAGACAATCTCTTGAGCTTAAGAGTTTGAGTTTGCTGTGAGCTGTGATGCTACAGCACTCTACCAGAGGTCCATGACACCTTTTCTTTCTTATGTTTTTCCTAATTCACATTAAAACAAATGTTGGCATGCTCTTTAACTTTTGTGCCACTGGTGGTCCACACTCCACACTTGAGGAAGTACTAGATTAAATGAGCCTCAGTTCTTTCCCATAGTCACTGAATTCATGCTTGTGAATATCTATAGAGTCGAGCACTGAGGAAACAGTAGAAAACAAGCCAAAGTCTTATAGTCTGGTGGGTGAAGGTCGGCAGAGCATCACAGAAGTAAATAAATGACTGTAGTTTGTGATGGGTGCTGTGAAGGAAAAGTATAGGGCTTCTAGGAATAGATAATAGGCATCTGACTTATTTCATTCATTCATTCTGCAAATACTGGAACTGAACCCCTGTGTGGCCAGCACTATTCCAGGTCATTTGGTTATTGGCATACCCAAGGAAGTAGTATTTATAGGCAGTTCCCAGGTTATGAAAGAGGTAGGTTCTGTGGGTTTGTTCTTAAGTTGAATTTGCATGTAAATTGGAATAGATAACATTTACCTATTACCTGTAATAGCCTGTCTTCATATGTGCGAATTGTGTATTGTTTGGATGTTTGTAACTCAGGGACTTACTGTAATAGCCTCTGTTTGTAAGTGTACGTTGTACATATGTCAGTTGTTTGTAACTTGGGGACTGCCTACAAATTAAAGCCTGTTGTATGATATTTAAACATTCTCCCCCAACACTTTGTGTTCAAAGCATTTTTACAAGCACAGGTCAAAGTAGACAAAATAGCAATATATGGGTCTGTGATCTTTACTGAAAAGCAAATTTGATGTCTCCTTCAGTCATCCTATTCTTTATTAGTAAGTGACAGGAGCCCAGTAAACAGGACGTACTTAGCTTACTTGAAATGGCCCTGTCCACCTGTTGACTTGACAAGTTAAAACTGTAGGCTTAGAGGTGTGTGAGCAAGAATCCTCCTCTTTCCTTTGGGGATTCCTAGCTTTCAGAGGAATCCTTTTTGCTTGGTTATAGGTTTCTAGCATAATGTCCTAAAAGTCAGTGGAGTGAGAGTCAAGGTGCTCCTTGTCTTTAACTGCCAGGTAGCACTAGTTAGAGAAGAAAAGCAGCTGCTAAAGGGCTTGGTGGACATAATCTCAGCTGACCAGGAGCCTGGGTGAGCCCAGGCTGGGACTGCTTCTGAAGGGGGCACAGTGCATATGTAGCTGTATGTGTATTTTGTTTGTGCATGTAGATTCTGTATTATTTTATTCATATACATGTGTAGATAAATTTGAGTGTGGAGAGAATTCCTCTCACAATATATTAATGTTGCTTGATTTTTCTTTTATGGTAATTTAGTGTCATTGTGAGGTTTTTAAAGCTAATGAGGATTTAATGATTTGCTCTCATTTTCCTATTAAGTCATTTTTCCCAGGCGTCCTCAAGCTAGGGCCTGCGGGCCACATGCGGCCCACCTAGGACATTTATCCGACCCACGGGGTGTTTTTGCTGCTGCTGCCTGTCCTGCTTAGCAGCCAACTAGTCCCGGGGCCCATAGTCCGGCCCTCCAACAGTCTGAGGGACAGTGAACTGGCCCCCTGTTTAGAAAGTTTGAGGACCCCTAGCCCAGATGTTTGCTTAGTTTAGTTTCTCAAGTTGTCTTACCTAAGGAGAAGTAGTACTAGGCAGTGTAGCCACTACCCATTGTCTCTATTCATAGGCTAAACCTGCTATTTGAGTTTGGGGCCTAAATTTCTGCAGTCTAAAAGTTGATGTGATTTCAGAATATCAGACTTTCTTAGTGGTCAGATGAATATGTGATGGTTGACCTTTTTATTCTTTAATTTTTTTCTCAATTTTTCATTTATTCATTTATTTAGATAGAGTGTCACTCTGTCACCCTTAGTAGAGTGTCATAGCATCATAGCTTATAGTAACCTCAAACTCTTGGGCTCAAGCAGTCCTCTTGCCTCCACTTCCCAAGAGCTGGGACTACAGGTGCCTAACACAGTGCTTGCCTAGTTTTTGCTACTTTTTTAGTAGAGACCGGGTCTCATTCTTGCTTAGGCTGGTCTCAAACTCTTGAGCTCAGGTGATCCGTCCACCTCAACCTCCCAGAGTGCTAGGATTACAGGCATGAGCCACCTTGCTCAGCCTCATGATTGACCTTTTGAATGTGAAAGAACATATAACTTGATTGTAAGCACTTGAGCAGCTATGCTGGTGTGTGCGGGAAATTGTTCCTTGGGAGGCAGCAACATTTTACCAAATTGTCAGGTTTTGCAGCTATTATATTATCAGACGAAATTTCATAGTAGTCTGAATGTTCAGTGTTAAAGTGACACAATTTAAGTAAAAACATCATGGCAAAACTTAATAAGAATTACATTGTTTATCTTATCTATCTTTAGAAAAGTGCTAGCTAAGAAGTATCATCTAGAAGAAAGTCCATTGATTTTGAACTGCATTGAACTTTGTATTCTTTTTTTTTCTTAAGTTGATATCTAATAGTTTAAAATGAGATTAAAAATACATTTCTGGCTCGGCGCCTGTGGCTCAAGCGGCTGGGGCGCCAGCCACATACACCTAAGGTGGCGGGTTCGAATCCCCAGCCCAGGCCCGCCAAACAACAATGA